CGAGTGTTGAAGAATGGAATGAAATAGGAAAAAATTTTGGTTTAAAATGGAACTGTCCTGATTGTTATGGAGCAATAGACGGGAAGCATATAGTAATAAAAGCACCAGCTAATAGTGGTTCTGAATTTTTTAATTATAAAGGATCATTTAGCATAGTATTATTAGCTGTTGTTGATCATGATTATTGCTTTCGCTACTTAGATGTTGGTGCAAATGGTAGATGTTCCGATGGTGGAATATTTCGAAACTCTTCATTAAAGTTAGCTATTGAAAATGATTTTTTAAATTTACCAGAAAATGGTTATTTTGTTGCCGATGGTGCCTTCCCATTAACGAAATATATGATGAAACCATATTCCAGGAGAAAATTGTCAAAAGAACAATACATATTTAACTATAGACTATCAAGAGCCCGTCGTATAGTCGAAAATGCTTTTGGAATTTTGGCACATAGATTTCAAATTTATTTGAAACCAATACAACTTCAACCAAGTAAAGTCGAAGAAATTGTTAAAGCAACATGTGCTCTACATAATTGGTTGCGTATTACATCGGGGTCAACGTATATGCCTCCGGGATCATTTGATGAAGGATTGGCGGGAAGTACAACAGTTCGAATGGGTTCTTGGCATTCTGAAATACAACCTACAGGTTTAGTTGAAGCACCACCATTGAGATTTGGGCAAAATTATCTGAGAAGTGCGATTGAAAAACGAGAGCTATTATGTAAATATTTCAACGAAGAAGGTGCAGTACCATGGCAAGAAAATATTTTCGATGTGTAATATTCATTGCAAATTTAGAAATTCAAAATGTATTAATAAACATAATTAATGTTAATTTTATTATTATTTGTCGAATAATTATTTATAATACATTTACATTTTGTGATTGAATTAACAATATTAAGATCTAAAAGACTCGCTCAGTCATTCATAGTAGATGTATACAATTTAAAGTACCCACGAATAATATTTTTTTATAAATTATAATAATATAGCTAAAATTGTTATATTATTTGGTTATTTAATTGGTAATTTCATCCAAATTTGAACTTAATATAACTATAAAAAATTGACATTTTTCATTGAATTTATAATTCGATTTTATTGAACATAGTTTACAACACGTTTTGCAAACATCTCGCTAATAAAAAATGTATGTAATTCCATAAATTAAATTTACCAAATTTGTTTGTGATGGCCGTTGGATTACATGTGATTTAAGAAAAGAATCCATTAAATTAAACCAAGGTACTGAAGGCTTATAAATAGAATCTGTTCCGGTTCCTAAAAATAATGAAAGGTGTGATATATTAAATGAAAATTATTACTTATCTAATATAGATCTGATACCTGAATGTTTTGATGCAGACACTTTTTTTACCTCTTGGCAATAAGCAGAACGTATATTATTAATTTTTGCCTTTGCTTCGTTTACACCAAAATTCTCTATGGCCATTTCATTGCATATTTTTTCAAGCGCTATTTTTCTAGCATGTTTGTTTTTATATTCAGATATACTTGTATTCCACAGAACTTCATGACTTTCGTACAAATGAATAAATTTCATTGTTTTGTCCTCAGACCATTTTTTTTCTGCCATTATAATATTATGTACGAGTAAAAAATTAAATTGAAAAAAAATTATACAAAAAATATTATTGTATTAAATAAACTTATAAATTTAATATTTTAAAGAACAAAACATTTTAACAATATAAACGCGAACGGACGATGTTCATTCACTGAATGTATATTTTAAAATATAAAAATAAAAATGTTCTCCCCACGTACGAGAATTTTGATACATGTCCGTGCCGGCACGGATCGGACAGCACGACTTGTACGAGCTTGTCACACGTACGTGTGGCGTGTTTATATTATCAGAGTAGAGTCCGTGCCACTAATTCGTGGTTGGTTCACGGACGTGGCTACTTCGATAAGTGTAAACCGGCCTTAATAGATAAGCCACTCCCGTGTTAAATTGTTGTACAGCCATAACTGCTCCCGGTGGTTGTATAATGACACTAAAACAGCGGAACCATCGATAGTCACCGTCATCGATAGTTACCATTATCGATATAACGCTATCGATAGTTTAAAATAGGTATAGTGAAATATGTATTATAATAATAAAAAAAAAAACAATTTAACTAAAAATATCTGTATTTTAAAAATTAACACGAGAATAATTAAATGACAACCAAAAATTATTATTTAAACAAAACCTAATACATATAATATAAAAACACATTAGTAGGTATATAAAATTAAAAATATTATGAGAGTATAATAATAATATAATAACATAAAACAACTAATCTTAGTAAGTACAGTTATATGCAGAACAAAATAAATAAAATACAATTGAATTATAACAATTCAATCAGTCAATAATTTAAAAAACATGAGAATATAATGATATTCTTTATATAATATAATGATTTAAAAAACATATTTTATGGTAATAGGTTATATTTACCTTGAACAATTTTTTTTTTTTTGAGTGTTTTAAATACCATATATTTGCAAATAAATTTATAGGGTCATTTTCATATAGTCCTCCGGTGGAGGTCCCCCGGTGTTTTTCCAGTGAGCGCCTTCTTGGCTGCGAGCAGCGGTCCCGGGCCGGGCAATTGTGTCAGCGAGTTGCCCGCGCTTGGGCCAACCAGCGAAGGTCAGATCCAGTTCTCGTCCCCTTCGTCGGGGTCTCCGGGTCCAGTCACTTAAGTCCAGATCCCGGTCTAATGCTTTAATGGCCCGACTCTCTCTCGGAGGTCGTTTCTATCGGTCCCCAGGTTGCTAAGTCCAGGGCCGCCCTCGGTCGTGCCCTCGTCACGCCGATTTAGTCTGTCAGCTCGTCTCCGCCCGTTCGTGGGTGACGGGGGTCCTCAGACCCCCGGGTCCCCTTGGGCTCCGGTTCCTCCCGTGCCCTCCGCAACGACCTTCCGCTAGCGCGGTGGCGCGACCGCGGTCGCGCACGGGTCCCCCGCGAGTCGTGTCCCGGGGGGGACCGGGGTGCCAGCACCTCACGACGATACGGCGCCCCCCGCCGGGCCGGACAAGTCCGGCTCCCGCGTGAGACGCCGTAGCGCGATGGACGGGCGCCATCGAAGAAAAAAGCCCGACGACGTGCCCCTTGGACACGTCGCCGGGCAACTCCGCAACTGCGCGATTCACGAGCCGCGCCCTCGCAACCCGCAAAAGGTCGCGTGGGAGCAGGTTTGCCTAGACGCCTTATGCGTCCCGAGTCGGCGTCCGGCGCGATAGCCTAAGCTACCGCGTCCAGATCGTCCTCCTCCGTTTGCCACTTCCGAGTCTACCACGGTCAAATTCCGCCCTGGCGAGCGGACCCCGGCTGACACCGGAGCCCGCTGCCATTGAGACTAGCATATATACCATTAGTTTACCGTCAGCAGCCACCGCTGCGGACGCATAGCCGCTACCTCTCTGGGTGGGGCCGACAGTTGGAGTTGGATCGGTGTTAGCCGTCGCTGCCCGGAGGCCGCGCCGTTTACATCTACCGCTACGAGGAAGCCCCGATCCGTCGATTGGGGCGCCTTTCCACCAGCGCCCGCATCGAAACCACAAATTCCCTAATGTCGGTCCACCCGGCCGCGCCTATGCGCGACTCGGGCCATCACCTCCCGGGGACGGCTCGCCAGGACCCTCACAGCTGGTCAAGGCGACCCGGCACCCGCCAGGTGATTACATCGTCCTCGCGGTTACCCGCGATTCTGAGGGGAGCGACACCGGTGCGGTAACCTCTCCCCGAGGGGACGGCAAGCCGTCCACCCGATGAGTGACCCCGCGCCACGGGCAAACCTAGGCCTTCACGCCCGTGGAACGACGTTTCCGTCGCCCCCCGAATCGAGCAAACGCTCCGGCCTGAAGCGGACGCGTACGGAACCCAACCCCGCACGCCACGCTGGCGACCGGTGTCGTTAGCGGACGTTCCGCCCTGGCAGTACCAGGCCCGAGAACCACCGCTGGAGACTAGCGAAACCAGGCTGTGGTTTCGCTAGATAGGTGGATGTGATATAGACGATAAGACGTTAGGTAAAATGCCACGGGGTACTTTCTTTAGCAAGTGTGATAAAAAAAATAAAGTAATTATTGTTAAATGGATGGACAATAAAATTGTTAGTTTGGCAAGCTCTTATGCAGGTGAAGAACCCGTCCAAACAATTCAAAGATATTCAAAAGCCGAAAAAAAAAACAGTGCCTGTCCCTTATCCTAAAATAGTTGAGAAATATAATACCCATATGAGTGGTGTAGATCTTGCAGATATGTTTATAGCGCTTTACCAAACTAACATGAAGACACACAAATGGTATATGGCATTATTTTCGCAGATGTTAGATCTATCTGTAAATAATGCCTGGTTATTGTATAGAAGAGATAGCAAAAGTGAAAAAAACACGATGAGATTAACCCTTTCAGACCCACGGGTCACAAAAGTGACCCTGCGTTCGTAATTCATATAACATATTCATTATTTATGTTGCGGTATTGCTATATAGTTATTATTATACAAAATGTTTCGTAGATTAAGAATAATATAGTATCACAATGATTGTAATAATATAATTATGTTATTTACTCGTTTTTATTAAATAAAAATCAAGCAATCGGTAATCAGAAAAACAGATGTTTATAAAATCGCTATAAAATTAATAATCGATCATAATAAATGGGGATTTTTATTTTTCACTATCCATTGGTAACACTGTGTAATACAACAAAGAGTACATGAATTGTGCTACACATTTGTTACCAATGACAATGTAAAGAGAGGGTCATATTTGTGACCCGTGGGCCTGAACGGCATGCTTTGTTATTTATTTCCCGCTCTTTTTCGTTATGGTTATTATCACATTATCACACTGAAACGTTTTTTGATAATGTCACTAAGATTTATTTACAAAATATTTTATGTGCATAATTTTATTACAATATAATTTGTTTTATCTTAACTTTTGTATAAAATTTATAAAATGACTAAAAAGCTAAGTGAAATTGATATACTTAGTTTATTGGGAGATGGCTACGATTCTGATATTGGAAGTATTGACGACGAAACGGAAGAATTAGATTTTCCCAATGACGAATTTCAAAATTTGTTGAACGATTTCGAAGAAATACATGATGAGCTAAATGAAGTAACAACTAATATTCATAATAATCCACCAATAGTTGAGCCTAATATAATATATAATGTAACTGAAAAAAAAAATATAACCTGGCACAACGAACCATACATACCACCAAAATTACATTTAGATGACATACAAGAAAATATTTGCAGTAAATTACGTTTTCCTATCGAGTATTTCTTAGATTTTTTCGATGAAACTTTTTTTGAAGAAATCGCTTTTAATACAACACTTTATTCTGTTCAAAATAGTGTACCAAATTTTAAGGCCACCAATTCTCAGGAAATAAAACAGCTAATAGCAATACATTTAATAATGGGAAGTTTAAAATATCCTAGAGCTCGTATGTATTGGGAGGACGAATTTCGTGTCAGTTTAATATGTAATACAATGACCAGAAATCGTTTTTTTCAGTTACGATCAAATTTGCATATAATTAATAATGAATCGATGCCATTAGGAAATAAAGATAAATTTATTAAAGTACGTCCATTGTATGATTTGATAAAGAAAAAGTGCAATAGTTTACCCAAAGAACGAAATCTTTCAATTGACGAACAAATGGTTCCATTTAAAGGACATTTGTCAGTTAAGCAATACATGAAAGGAAAACCTTGTCCGTGGGGTATCAAAATTTTTATTTTAGCTGGCGAAAGTGGTATAGTTTACGATTTTATAATTTACCAAGGTGCAACGACTGAGTTCGATGAAAGTACTCAAAAAAAGTTAGGACTAGGTGGTGCCGTAGTTTTATATCTTACGAAGACTGTTAAAGAAAATTCGCATTACTTGTTTTTTGATAACTACTTTTCGTCTTTTCAATTGTTTGAACAATTATATATTAATAAAATATATGCTATTGGTACCATTCGTGCAAATCGATTCAATAAACCTCCATTATTATCTGATAAAGTTATGGGGAAAATGGGACGAGGTACTACTTATGAAATCCAGTCCTCCAAAACAGATAATGGTTGTTCCATTGCACTTGTAAAATGGTTTGATAATAAACCTGTTAATATGGCATCAAATTATTTAGCTTCTGGTGTTATCGACGAAGTGAAAAGATATGACAAAAAAGAAAAAGTTTACGTGACAGTTGAAAGGCCCGAAATTGTTAGACTTTATAACAAGTCAATGGGGGGAGTAGATAAAATTGACCAACTAATAAGTTTTTATAGGATATTTATTAAGTCAAAAAAATGGACCATGCGTCTTATTATGCATGCATTTGATCTAGTTGTGAGTAACTGTTGGCTGATATATAAAAATGACGCAAAACAATTAAATACTCCTCAAAATAAAGTGTTAGATCTTTTACATTTCCGATTACAATTAGCAAGAGAGTTAATCGAATTTAATTTTAAGAAAAAAGCTGGTAGACCAAAAAAATTTGATGCAGATTTTTTACCTAAAACAAGCCCTTCGACGACAAAAAAACCGAGAACAGATAGTGTTATTCCACCAGAACATATAAGATATGATAGAACGAACCACTTTCCGGAAGTTGATCACCTAAAAAACCCAACTAAATGCAAATATCCTCCATGCGAGAATCGGCATAGAACCCATGTGAGATGTATAAAGTGTGATATACATTTATGTTTGAATTCTGATAGAAATTGTTTTTTATCCTTTCACAAAAGTGATTAGTTTTTAAATTTCTTGTTTATTTATAAACAAATAAAGAGTTTTTATTTCGTTTTTTCTTATTATGTAATTTTTTTTTTTTTTTGTTATCAGTTTATAACTATTATTATTTTTATTATTAAGTTAACTAATTTTTTTAAGACTACTATTTCTGTTATTTATTTACACAATAAAAAGTGATAATAAAGTAAAGTGCAATAATACGTGTTATCTTGTTAAAGTATTTCGTTGAAGCCCGAGGGTCACATTTATGACCTATACTTTATTTCGCTAAAAAATTATTCGATTTTTTTAAAAATCAAAAATTTGATTATTTAGTATATAATAATTAATTAGAACGAAAAAAAAAATTTTTAAAAAAAAAAAAAAAATTTGGGTCTGAAAGGGTTAAAAGAATTTAGAAAAGATATTGCTATTGCATTGGCTTGTAAAAATAAGCCAAGAGTTGGTCGTCCTTCTTCTTCGATAACAAAAGAAAAACAAAACGTAAAAAAAGTTCAAACACCGGTTGCACCAAGGCCTCCACAAGAAGTGATACAAGATAAAATAGACCATTGTCCAGCATTTACCACCAAAGGCAGATGTAGGTATTGCAAATCAGGCCAAACTTCTGTCATATGTCTTAAATGTAAAAACCGTCTTTGTTTTGTGGAAGGGAGAAATTGTTTCCAAAACTTTCACTACGCAAAATAATTGTATATATTTTTATCTATTGTTTTGTTTCAATTGAAACTCATTAAGTATTAAATTAAATAATAAAATTAAAGGAAGTTCCTATGTATTTATTTAAAAAAAAATTGTTTATTCATATTTTAAATGTGTTAAAGTTATGGTTTTATTTTATATAATATTAAATATACTATTATGAATTAATTTTTTTGTATTTCCTGAATTATTGGCAACGGCTTATATTATACACATGATCTTGGTAATGTATCTCCCTAAATACAACTCTTATAATACGAGTTTATGGCAATGTATCTCACCAGATACATAGTACATATTACAGTAGAACTTCGATTAACCGTCACTGTCGGGACCGGGGCTATGACGGTTAATCGAATAGACGGTTAACGGAAATTTTGCAAAAAAAAAAAAAACGTGTACATACATATACACACATTTATTATATTTTTACGTAAAGCTTAAAAATTTTAATGCCGTAACGATGTGTTTTATTTTTTAAATATTGTCGAAAAATAAGTCTTCCTATAAATGGTACAACACTTTCATCGATGCATAACACCTCTTCAGGTATATACCATTTTTGAAAATTAAATACTAATAAGTCCACCAATTTTTGTATCGTATCTAACCTTCCATGTTCTGGTTTTTCGTTGTTCGAGCAATGAAACATACTTAAAATTAACTCAAATCTATTTCTACTCATTACTTCAGTAACTTTATTTGCATACAATATATCTTTCCGCCAATAATCAACTAAACTGGGCATATTTACCAATCCCATCCACATAACAAGGCCCAGAAAATTCCTCATTTATGTACGATCAATCGGGGTCCATTTTTTTAATCGAGAATATGCCTTCAATTTACGGTTACGAAGAGATTGCGAGGCATATCGGTTTGTTTCTATTATTAAAAAGTCTAAAATTTCTTCATCAAGAAATAAACCATAAAAATCAAAGGGCAAACAATCCGTCATTGTTTCCATAATGTCTGAATTTATACCAACTTCCAAATTATGAGGATTATATTGTATATTATTAAAATTACCTATAACTGGTCCCCAAGATAGTGTTGTAGTTTAATTTTGAATGTTATTTTCAACTTCAGCTCTTTCGTTTTCAAAATGTTCAACTTCAAACTCTTCACCGATATCTTCGTAATTTTCATCATCATTCCAATCAGGATCTTTGTCTGAATCATCAACTTCCTATTTATAAATAAAATAAATTTGTTTTGTTAAAAAGTACCAAAATAAAAATATTTGTAAGTATTTACTTCCTCATCACTGTCGCTTATAAGTTCCACATCACTGTCATTTAATCAATTTTCAATTATTTCTTCCATTTCTTGAATAAATGGTTGTAGTTAATAATTATTTACATTCAATACCTATATTGTAACAGTTAATAATATATTGTTGTCGTTATCGTACAATGTAGAAATAACAACGCAGTTAACAGTGTACACTGAGCGATAGAACACGACTAAGTAATAACATAAAATAGTATAATAATAAAAATAAAACTAGCTTATCTTTATACGTATATTACCCGTATACGCACACTCATTGGAAAAATACGTCGTTAAGAGGACGTGATACCCAAAGCGTTACGTATGCAACAGCCGAGAGGATGCGCTGTTAGGTGTTTTCACGATCCACAAGCGCGCGGCGTTTAAGTCACGCCACTAGTCGCAGTCGGCGGCCGGCAGTCGATTGTGCTCAGTCGGGACTTCGGGAGTGACGTTCATTATTCTATGAACGTTCGTCTAGGACGCGTCGATATAAAATGTACACACGTGAACGCCGTGGTATTATTTTTAATATCCGCGCGTACCCATTTGGACTATTTTTTTGAAAAGTTACTGCTTACCTAAATATATGTAGCAATATATAGATAATGAAAATGGTAATACAACATAGCTTGATTTGTAGTTATCGCATAATAACTAATTACAATATAATACATATAAAATACATACAATACATAAAATATTATGAATTGGTACCTATACTAAATAAGAGGATCTAGAGGTCTAGGATATATTATTGTGTTACCTGTATAATGTGGAAGTCAGTGGCGTAGATACGGGAGGAGGGAGGTGTAGAGGGTTTAACGACTATAAAATAAAATAACCATGTTGTACCTTATACAATAATAATTATATTAAAATAAAAACAATTAGAAGGTATAATACTATGATACATATAATATGCATATTACAATTAATTAACATTTTACATAATAATATTACTAAGATACGTCTAGTATGATTTTATTTTTATTTTTTATGTTGTCCGATATATGTGTAGGTTCGAAAATGTCAGATTTTAATAGTCTTTTTCCATACCGTGGTTCAACCAATTCTGGCAGAAGACATTCTTTATAAAATCTGTGAAATAGGTACCTATATTATTACAATTTATTTATTTATTAATTTTAATTTATAACTATTACAATTTACACATTTTCAATCTTATGTAATAGCTAATAGGTATTTCAATGCAACAAACTATATTGGTTAAATTGTATTATTTAAATTTTTGTAAACATACGTCTCTAACTGAATATCCATTTTAGAATACCAAAATCTTTCGTCGTAATCAATTACGTCATATTCAATCCATTTTTCGGAGTATACAACAAAATAACATACATTCCTTTTTGTTATTTTTAATTGTCCCTGTACTTGATAATAGTATGAACTAGTTTTTTTTAATTTCATTTTACCGTCTACAATAGTTACATAAGGTATCTGTAAATTATCAAAACAATCATATTACTAAAATATTTATTAAATTAATTAATATTCTGTATACCTTTTTATTGTCGACCACTGTTTGTAATTCATTCGTATCTTTGATCGAAAAAGGACATTTAATTTCCAAAACAGCTGTATCGCCAATTAAACCATCTGAGTATATAAAATATATATCTAAATATTAGTTGTATATTATATCACATTATCACCCCTAACAACTAGTTAGTTACCGTAAAACTTTGATTTCTTAATACATCGTACTTACCAGGGCTAGCGGCTAAGTATGGTTTATCTGCGTCAATAAACAAACCACAATCCATGACTTTAAGATTTGTTAATTTTTCAAATTTTTCTTTTGCGATGACTTCAGTAATTTTTCCATAGTCCATCGCTCGGGTTGTAAAATGACCATATAATATGTCATATACGGTTCTTTTACAGGATGTAGTTGGACGCATCTTACAAACTTTTCCAAAGTTTGACGCTGTTAGTCTGTTTCTCCGTTCAATAAACCACTTTTGGTTGTTCGATTGATTTCGCGTTTCCAACTCGATTTGTTCCCTGACCGTTATGGGTAAGGTAATTGTTTGAATGAATTCAATTTTTTTATTTTTCAACTCTGAGCTAGTCCATAATTTTCATCTGGACCATTGGACATATTTTTTTTTTTGTACATTCCAGATGCTCGAAATAGAGCTCGGCGTGTTTTTAAATTTTTTCTTTTATCTGCAGTATACTTTAAATATTTTTTAGCAACGATTCCTACAGTAAAATTGAAAATATTTATTTATTTATTTTTATTATAATTTACAATATGAATTGGAAGTGAATTTCATAATAATATGAAAATATAATAGAGTACCTGGACTTTTGTTAGTGATATTTTTGTGGATTTCTCGTATCAAATTACCATTTGAGTTAAAAGCTACCACAGCTGCATAAACTCGAGTAGTATATGATTGTTTTTGAGAAAAATTAATTCTCTTTCCCGCGATGTGTTTGTTGATTAGGCTGTTGAATTGCTCGCAGATATTATTATCCACGTCAAGTAACAAGCTTTTAGAATTATTAACTACGCGACGAAGAGCAGTGGACATTTCAGTCATTAAACCGCATTTTATGACTTCTGATACAATATTTTGCTCTCCAATTTTTTTCCCCATGCAAAAATATTTGTCACACTTGGAGTGTTGACCAAAAATGTGATATTGGCTATTTAAAATATCATTACGTAATCCTAAAAAAATTTATTTAAGTTAAATTTTAAACTTAAAATTTGTAAAAAATTTGAAAACTAATAATGTTTACCTTCAATTTTGTTATAATATGATTCATCAATTTGATTTCTATACTTTATTGCTTTTGTTATAGCTGTTCGAAATCTTAGTACATTCTTTGATATAAATTTTCGTATAAAACCCGGATACTCAGTTTTCCTTGTTAAATGCATTATTTTTTGTCCATAATTACGAAGTATGTGATTTCTACATTCAATTTTCTCAATTAAAAATGTAGGTCCATACGGCATAACTTCATTTAATCTTTTACAAATACTACTATCTCCGTCTCCTGAAGAAAAAACAAATAAACATCATGCTATAATAATATGTAATATTATGATTCATTATAGCAGTAGGTATATTGTATAAATATGTTGGTACATTTTATTTACCAATTAACTGTTTAAATTTTAAACCATGCATTTTAACGCTGCATAAAAATCCTTCTGCTATAGCATCGGCTTCTATGCTGGTAGCACCATTCTTCCAATTTAAAAAGCACTTGTGGGTCATGGGAGATTTACCGATGGTTTTCGCTCTTTCGCAAATCACACAGTACCGATTTCTTATGCCAATAAATAATATTTTTTTCGTCCGAAATCCAATTATAGTGGCCTGTAGAGAAATTCCAAATTATATGATATTATATATGTTTTTCTTCGAGTATCTGTAAAAAAAACTCTACCGGACTTAAACGAAAAATTTTTATGAACATTTGAAAATTAAACTTAACTTAAATTAAACAAATTTAAAAAATTAAAAATTCAAGCTTACTGTTAAATGGTTTTATATTTTTGTTATTTTTAAAATCAGAATCGTTTTTCGTATACAATGATACTTATCATTGCATTCAAATTTAACACATCCATTATAATGACCTATACATCACTATCTATATCACCTGCCTCAAAAGCCAACTTTTTTTCTTCTTTACCAGCGAGTTCCATAACACTCCATGCTGTAGTTTCCATATGCATACTTATTTCCTCACTATATTTTATATATGTCGAGGGGGCACATACATGGAACATCTAAACTTGCCGAAAATTCAGCTAGTTGTGTGTATCCTATACCAATTGCATACGTGCCATTAACAACTGCTTTGTTAATCGGTATACAGTTTAGATCGTTGTTTTCCGATTCCAGTGTAGTCAATAGGTTACACATTTTACATTTAAAAATCCATTTTGTAGCAAAACCTTTTGTAATTTCGTTTATTAGTTCAACATTCAAAAACGAACATCCTAGCCCTGGAGTATGACATTGCTCATTTTGTATTTGAAAAAATACGTGTTTCATATCAACAATCCTCCTACCACCGCAAAAACTGGTAAAATAAATTTTAATTTTGTAAGTAATAACTTACATAATTCATCATCATATATTAATTAAAATAAACATACTTTGAAGTTATGGAATCTTCGGAACTAGGGTGACTGTATTCTGTACATAAGCTATGCTCCATCACGGTCGAAATATCATTATTATATTTTAAAGTCGGTGAACTGATACAATCTTTTGGTAAATTACAATTTGGAGTACTTGAAACTAGGTTATTGTTCACATTATCTGATGTAGACAGATTATTTATTGAATCAATTTCACTAAATAAATAAAAAGTTTAAATAAGTTTAAATACCAAAAAAAAAAATAAAAAAATATTTAGCTACACTCTGAATCTAATCGAAATTCAAAGAAAAATTATCAAAAATATTTTGCAGGTATAAAAATTAAAAAAAATTATAATGAGTGTATGAGCGTATTAGGTACCTACCAAAAATTAACAAACCTGTTAGGAACCAACTGCAACGTAGTCAAAATATCAGTTTCATTTGACGTCTCACTAAATGGTAATGGATTAAAAGTAAAATTTCAAAATAAAATATAAAACATAATATTTTATAATAATAGAATAAAGTTTAGGTATAAATTCTGTTTGTCTACCACGCAATTTTTGAAAATTTTTAATTTTTTTAACATGTAGGTACACATTATAATACTTAGGTAGTTAGGTACCTACTATACCAATAATGAATAAATAAACTATGTTGATAGTTATGATTATACAATAAATAATGTCGTGATAAATGTGTAATAATCGTCATAATTTATAGCAAACTACTAATAATTTGTGGGATTTTTTTTGGCACCATTGTTTTTAAATAGTCATTTTACATGAGTTTCGAAAAAAAAAAATTAAAAAATCTCGTAGTAGCTGAACTGCATTTTCTCGAAAGTTGATTTGAGTTCAGTAATATAAATTATAAACTGTGTTACTGTGTTATAATATTTAACTAGTTTAACCATTCCATATCTAAAAACTGTAATAATCTTGTAAAACCTTACCTTTTGTTTTTATTATAACGCTTTAACCCGTCGATGGTCGCGTCTTTTTTTTGTACTCCTTTGGTCGCGTGGTGAGAGATTCTCTCACTTTCTTCAATAGGTCTTATAATATGTAATAAACTACCAAAACACATTTATTATATAAATGAGTACTTATAAACTATATATATTTCAGTATTTATATATTTTTTCTTTTTTACAAAATACATTTTACATTACAATTTAAATAATGGAGCATCAACCAAGGGCGTCCGCAGGAATTTTTCAAGGGAGGGGCAAGGTACCTATATTTTATTTTTTATTTCATTATTTTATTAGTGATATAGTACCTCATTGTTTGTGAAGTGTTTTCTTTCAAATAGATAGAAAATGTAAAAATTAAATTATTAATTATGTGTAAATAGTTAGAACTTAATCTTACAGCATTAGTTTTAATTAATTAATGTGCAACTTTAAATTAATAAATGCAATTTTTTTATATAAATAAAATGTAATTATTGATTTCATAATTTTAGGTTTCCTATAAAATTAAATGTTTCTAGCTTCTACAAAATAAATAAAAAAATACCAAATTATTTACATAACTATATTTTATTATAGTGAACAACCTTCATTAAAATGTATTATTTAAAAAATATGTATCCTCACATATTGAACTGTATAAATAATAACATAAAATAAAGAATAAAAACTTTTAATATTCAAACATAAAATTTATATAACTTATAACATAATGAAATAAAAAAGAAACACCATAAAGATCAACCTTTATAAACAATATTATACCTAGGTATACTATTACCTGACACAATTTTGGGTTGGCAGAAAAAAATAATATACAAATATTAACAAAAAATTATAAATAATAACTATTCAATCATTGAATAATAGTTCCATTCTTCGTGGTAGTAGACCAAATTCATTTATAATTTCTTCAATTAATTCTGATTTATGATTTTTGACAAACTCTTTGTGGACAGCTATCATGCATAAACCATTAAGTCGATTATCACTAATAGTATTTCTTGTCCAAGTTTTCACTCTACGCAGTGTACTAAAAGTTCTTTCTGTTGAACAGGTAGTAACTGGTAGAATCAATGCAATAGTTAGAGCAATATGAATTGCTGGGTATAAATTTGCTTCATCTAAAAGACATATAAAACTTATATTTTTAATTTCACTTTGACTTATATTTCTATTTTTCCATACATTATACCATAACACACACTCCTCAACCAAATTATCAATTTCATAAAAATTATTTATTTCTACTATCATGTTTTTAAATTCATCATGCTGCATTTTTTTCATATTATTTGGATGTAAATTTAATAAGGAATGAGCAGCACTGTTTTCATCAGAAAATCTTAGCTTTAATTGCATTATTAAGGAATCTACATATGGTTGGTATAAGGAAACTCTAAAATAATCTTCAGGAGTATTTATTGGATGATTTGAACGATGCTTTTGGTTAGAAACAATACGAGGAATTTTAATGTCTTCTCCAACCTCAATCGCAACATTTTGAGCCTTTTTAAAAATCTCATGAAAATAATTTTTTGCATCCAGGTTTTTAAAAACTTCAATAATTTCACTAATATATTTTCTAGCTTGAGATAAATCTAACTGTACTGCTTGTAATGCATTTGTTATAGGTTCTAGTTGAGCAGAAAATGTTGCCATTATGAATATACATACAATAAAATTTGATTTAGTTGCTGCACTGTGTAACTGAAATGCTTGACTTTTTGTTTGTGAATCAACGCCTGTCTCCATAGATATTATTTCTAATTGTTCAACTATCTCAACAAAATTTTCACTAAAAATTCTTATTGTTTTATATTTTTCTGACCATCTAGTCTCACAAAATAAAGGAATTTTTTCTATTCTTTTTCTTCTTTTAGGACTTAATCTAAAAAATTTAATAATTGACCTGATACTCCCAGCACAGTTTTGAACATGCTGAAGTTTATTCAAATCATTTATTACTAAATTTAGTCTATGTGATGAACAGTGTACAAATACAGCTTTAGGAAATTCATTTTTAATAATTGCTTGGACACCATTATGAATACCTGACATAGCACTACAACCATCATACCCTTGTCCTACTAAATTGTTTAAATTAAGTCCAGAATTTCTCAAAAAATGTATTATAGATTGTGCTACAATTTTAGCATGCATATCTGTTAAAGCAACAAAACCTAAAAATTCTTCTTTGACTACAGGGTTTTCTGATTCAAATGAGATGTATCTTATGCCTATGGATAACTGTTCCGTACCAGAAATATCAGCAGTCTCATCTGCCAGAATAGAAAAAAATGATTGCGATTTCACTAAATAATTTGTTATTCTGCTTAAGATTATTTTTCCTGTAATATCAATTATTTCATTTTGAACTCTAGCTGAAATATATTTGGAATTTTTGGGGCTTGATTCTAAATGACTTAGTAAAATGTTATCACCAGCTTCAATTCTAAAGTTAATTAAAGCATTGAAATTTCCTTCATTTGATTTTTTTCCACGCAAAGCAATTTCTTGAGTGCCACAAAATAATATACTTGAAATAATAGGAAAAATTTTTTTCCTATTATTATCAATCAGTAACTTATGAGAAGTGTTAATTTTATCAAAAACAGTAATAGCTTTGTTAGAAAAAACCTTAATAAAATTTATAGCATTTTCTGTGCATTGTAAGTGTGTCTTAGAAACTTTATGTTCACATGCTTTTTTGTGAAAGTCTTTAAACTTAATACATGGTTTTTTCACAAACTGAACTTGTTTATAAGAATTACCATGACCACTAGATGAATGAAATAGAACACAGAATACACAAAATGGACTTTTCATTTTTTTAGAATAAGACAACCATGGTGAATATGTATTTAACCATTCATAACGAAAACTACGAGCAACTGACGTACTATCTTCCTTGAAACTATACTTAATTTCTGGTGTCCAGATATTGGTTAATAGTTCATGTTTTGTTTTTTCATCAATAACTACTGTGCAAGGAAGATTAACAAAGTTCCCAATATCTAGCCTACTAAAACTATCATTTTCTAAATTAGTAGAATTCAATAAATTTGGATTAGATGGCATAAATGAAGATGGTGTTGTTGGTTTCAGTGGTAATTCTATAACTGGTTGTTTTTCAAAAGAATTATTAAAAATATTATTACTTGATTCATCACATGGTTCACTATCTTCATTATAAATCCTACAGGTTTGATTTTGTTCTTCATCTTGTTTAGAACTATTATTACTTTTTTTTTTAATATTAAAAATACTAAACATTATTAAGCTACTCACTAAGACACTAGGTATACTCAAAAATTACATTAAGTCGTAAAAGAGTAGATAACTTAGCTAAGTAGATGTTAATACGTTGAGTGTCGCACTATTTATGATGGGTATAACATAAATATTGTTATTTTATTACATATCCAAGCAAAATATATGCTAAACGTTATTAATAAATTATTATTATTGTCATTCGGCGACAATTAGTAACAACACAAAAAATATTATATTGTTATATTATTATCGGAAATAAAAATTTAAAATAGCAACGCTGCGTTGTCAACATCACTGTCGCCGCCGTCGTCAACAGGGAACAAATAATTAATACAAACTAAAAATAGCTACACAAAATCCAAATACTATATCAACATTGATTGTATTAAATATTATTATTATTATTTTTTTTTATAGTAAAATATTTTTAAATGTATAATCAATGATACCAATAAAATACCAAGAATACGAGATCCTACTGAATATTCAAATATTAAAAAAGTCGAAACAGTGCTTCTAAAACTGATGACTTAATACACCCATAAAAATCTACATAACATTTTTTGTTGACTACGTATGTCGTGTTGACCAAGGTTGACACTCAATGTTTCAAAAAATGTTTTTAATTTAAAAAATATTTATTTTGTGATATTTTATATTATCTAATGATAATTGACCAAGGAAAAAGTCAAGGGAGGGGTAGATGCCCCTACTTGCCCCCTCCCCTGCGGACGCCCTTGGCATCAACATATTTTTATTACTAAAAAAAAAAAATAATAAAACTTTTTATTCTTGAATTTGCGTATTACAGATACAGGAATCGCATATGGTTGTAGTATGTTTTTTGCAAATTGGATTTGAACATTTTGCGCAAACAACCTATATAAATGATAGTATATGTAATTACAAATATAAAATATTTTAATTATTAAAATATAAATTTACTATTTACCACTGTATATCGATTTTCCTTTTTTGGACAATAAGAACATTTTGCTTTTCCACTTGTACCGGTTCCTGTTTCTGGGCTTGAAATGACTCCACTAAATCGTGTCATTTGTTGTCTTAGAGGAATAGATAATGTTGGAATACTTTGTCGTCGAACCATATGAGGTTTGCATAGGTCTTTCCCTAATTGTTTTAAAAATTTGCGTCGTGGAATAACAATATCAGTGTTTGATTTGTAAATAATTTGACTATTTATTCCAGCAATGTTGAGTAAAGAAAAAAATACTGTCAGAGGCCATCTGTGGCTGTTTCTTGAAACTGAGTATTCGCCTTTCAGTTCATCCACAACGTCTACACCTCCTTTTGACATATTATAAAATGAAATGACTTCTGGTAATTTTTTATCTCCCGAGTTTGGATCAATGTCACCTTGTGTATGCATTGTTGATAACATCATAACATTTTTTCCTTTTTTCGGAACATATGACAATAAAAGACAATTATTGTCACCAAATCCAAATTTTGTACTACATATTTGTCGACTTTTTGTGTCTAAAAAACATGTTGGTATCTCCCGTTTATTTTTTTTCAGTGTACCTACCATAGTAGTTTTATAGTCTTTTAGAAGTTCGACTGCTAAAGGGACTGAAGTGAACCAATTATCAATAGTAATATTACGGCCTGTTTTAGCAATTGGTTTTATCATACGTTTGACCACACTAGCTCCACTATTATTCTGTAAAAACGGTCCAATCGGTTGTTTGCCTGCGTAAATTTCCATATTTACTGTATAAAATACACGTGAATCTACCAAAGCAAAAATCTTTATGCCATATTTATTAGGTTTGTTGGCTATGTACTGACGAAATTTACATCGTCCTCGGAAGCCCTCTAACATTTCGTCGATTGTACAATATTCTCCTGGTGTATAAAATGATATGCAACGATTTACGAATTCATCAAAAACCGTTCTAATTGGTGCCAAATTGTCAATTTTTTTTCGTTCATTTCGAGTGTGTATGTTATCAAATCGTAAGGCGCGAAGTAAAAGGTAAAAACGTCTTTCAGACATTACAGCACGAAAAATGTCTGGAGAGAATCCATCGTTTGCCCACAAGTCGGATAGATTTATGTGATTATTTCGCAACATACCAGCAATATATAAGAGACCGATAAGTGCTCGAATTTCTTCTACGTCAGTATCTAAAACATCTTTGTCCCTTTGATAATTATCACGAATTTTCGATAAATATATATTAGTACAAGTAGTAATTTCTTGTAAACAATCGTTGGGAAAAAAAAGTTCCCAAGAGTGAATTATAGTTTTAGCATTTTTTGCTGCCGATTTTACACCAGGAAGGTGTGTTACAATATTTCTTTGTGGAGTTCTAACATTACGGGGAGGAGGGTCAGTATACCACTTGATAATATTATCTTTACCTTTATTATATCCACGAAAATCATTTCTAATAGAATCGTCAGAACAAGACATTTCGGAATCACTTTCATTTTCAACAGATTCATTACTATTTTCTGGATTATCTAATACGTCTCCATCACTGTCATCTTCGTCGGGGTCAAAATCATCTAACATATCATCGTCAGCTTCCTCAAGCCAAGCAGATATGTTATTATCCATACTAAAATAATGCACAGAAAAAACGTACTTGTTTGGTCGTGTTTAGAGAATTTCTCTCACCGTGCGTACACGAGTCACGTTAAACGGATACTGAAAATATGTAATCAATTACTAAGTCGTTTAATGCCCATCTATTTTTAGATTATCTGTATCTGATAAGGTATAGCACAACTAATAGGCAATAAACCGATATAACAGACAGTGGTGACCAAAATAATATCGTAATGAGAGAATCTCTCACCACGCGACCAACGACGGGTTAAAATAAGGTTTTTAGTAATATATTTCCTACGCGGACGTTTTGTTTTGTTGTTTTTATTTGCCATATTTTTAAATTACTATTATAAACAACACCAGTGGCAATAAAATACAATAATCTAGACCTGTAAGGCTGTAAATTATTTGTACATACTGGCACGAGTCACATCAGAACTCAGAATGACTAAGTGCCGGATCATTCATTACAAGATAATATTATAATCATAATAATAATAATAATAATCTTAATTTATTTTAGACATACGAATAAGTACTGGACGAATAATAATAATACGGCGTATAATAGTAGTAATTATGGTTATTAGCTATTACTATTCATAGAATTGCAGATAACAACGACGACGACAGCGACGGCCGGCACGCACTACCTCCCTCCCTTCACACACAGTCAATTGGAAATTTTATTTATGTAACTATCCACTAGAAGCAGCACAATACGGCATGATAAATTAAACATATCACAAATTCACAACTAAAACATAACTACGGAAAATTGCAATTGCTCGCTTTACAATAGTTTTAGCGAAAAAACACCTATAATAAAATCGAAAGAAAACAATATTTTGGAGAAAACATCATATGCGTTTTTTAATATTGCTAGTATATAACTTACAAATTAAAATACAAAATATACATATTTTACGTTTTTTAATTAGCTGTATCTTTTTTACTAATTACTTTTCTACAAAACGGATATGACATTTTCTTGGAAATATTGTTCTCTATAAATTTTATCATAGGTATTTTAACTCTAAAACCTCTTTTTAGTGCAGTTATGATTGTTTTGCGTGGACATGTTTTTACCGTTGAAAATAAGCGGTATAACGTCCTCTTAATACTAAAAATAAAGAAATTATAAAATTATTTTTAAGTGGGAATAATATTAAATGAAGAACTCTTACCATAATAATACAAAATTATTATTATTTCAATATTAGGCATTTGACAATTGACTATTGTCTTTTACACAGTTAACACTATTATTTTCCATAGTATGAAATTAAAATTGTTGCGAGTGTAAATTTTTATAATTACCTATATAAATATATATATATATATGTACAATATTTTATTTTGATAATTTTTTTAATTATTTATTTATTGATTGATACATATTACATCTATTAACGGTAAGCATTGAAATAATTGAATTATTAGGTACCTATAATAATAGTTAATAATAATAATAATTATTTTTTAGCAACCCTATTTTTATTTAAAATTCATTATAATGAAATTTAATACATTTTTGTAATACATTTCTACAAAATTTAACTTGCTTGTTTTAATGTTATTATATTATTAATTTTAGTTGAAGTACTAAAATTGATGTAAAAAATTAAATCATAAAATGTACTTAACATTTTTTTAATAATTTAAAAAATTAATTTTTAATAATTCTATTAATTTAAAAAAAATAATATTATTATTATAAACATTAATACATAGATTTGTTATTGCAAACACTTAACAATAATGTTTTTTTTTATTTTAATTAATAAGGTAAAACTAATTAAAATGCTCATAAAAAAAAAGAAGTTATATTTGGAACCATTTTACCATAATTGATCAAAAATATGCAAAATGCAGTTATTGTTCCAATAAAGTTAGTTATGGTGGTGGTTCAAGTGGTAACTTAATTCGTCATATGAAAACAAAACATATAACAGTGCCACTTGAACAAAATGTGCGAAAAAAAGCTCAGGATCTAGTAACTGAGCAAAATGTTGATGATCCTAATAGCTCGGGAACAACTGTTTCTAATTCTAATCAGCTAACAATTTCATCACAATCATCAACAAATTCTAAACCAGCTCGCCCATCCATAAGTACATCACAATCATTAGTTTGTCAACCAGTCCAGGTTTCTATGAATTCCTTCATTCAAAAACCAATAACAATTTCAAAGTCAAAAAAAAATTGATACACAAATTTCAAAATTAACTATTAAGCATTATCATCCTTTTAGTTTAGTTGAAGAGACAGAATTTAAAAACTTAATAAATTTACTGGCACCTGGGTACACACTTCCGAGCAGAAAAACCATATCTAACAGTTTAATACCTCAGTTATATGAGTCCGTAGTAAGTGAAATAAAATAAAAAATAAAAATATACAAGCCATTTGTCTTACTACAGATGCATGGACAATGGACATCTTCAAATAACCAGTCATTTGTAGCTGTTACTGCTCATTATATTGATGAAAATACAAAGTTGTCATCAATTCTGTTAGAATGTCACCATTTTCTTGAAAGACATGCAGCGGGGGTTAGGTTAGGTTATGTCTTCTTTTTTTAAACGATATAATGAGAAAAAGGAATTTAGTGACAATGGTTGTAAACAGGGCCGGATTTAGGGAGGGCAACCGGGGCGATAGCCTGGGGCCTCCACAATAGTGACTTCGGAAAAAAAAAAATCTTTCAAATCACATGCACTGTCACCCCGTCGCGCGCCGTCCCGTGAAAGTGGCCAACAGGATAAAAATAAATTTAACACTGATTGCCGATGGGTAATTCCGTGAAATTTTATGTAGCCATCAAGTTTGTTTATCAGTAAATCCGGCGCATCCTAAACCCCACCGCTCTTACGATTGACGCGAACTCGCAAACGCTATATGCACAATTATAATATTATTCGATTTTCCTTTTTCTATGTGTGAATGGTACGACATTATTATTTATTATTAACCAATATTTATATTTAAATGCTTACATTTTGAATAGCAGCAGCATAATACAATAACGCGTAAGTACCTATAATTGACTATTATATTATGAACTATTTAGTACTACTAACTAATACACAGTAATAAGGGGATTGGAAACGGAGATTTTATGCGACCGTGTTGTCAAAACCAAGTGGTCATCACATTACCATAATAAAATACAAATTGTTGAAAATATTCAACTATTTCACTGTATGTGTCCCGTGGAAAAGGCTGCGTCCTCGGTAGCGCTATTCAGTCGACTAATATCTGTGGCTAAGGCAAGCTGGGGCCTTAAAGAAAGGACGACAAGGATCCTGTACAAATCGGTGTTCCTGCCGCGTATGGGTTATGCGGCCTCGGTATGAGCCGAGCGCTGCATGGCACAGTACCGGCATCGAACACGGGCAAATACCGCCCAGAGACGCCCGTTACTGGCAATGACGGGCGCGTATAAGACCACGTCGACGATGGCGCTCCAGGTCCTAGCCGGAGTACCTCCCCTTGACTTAGAACTAGTTCGGCTGGCTAAGATCGAACGGGACAAGAACGCCGTGAGGAGAGGAAACAAGTTGGCGTCAGAAGTTGCTGGAAAGGCGAAACAGTATTACGACACTACCATACGCCTCTGGCAGGAGAGATGGGTCGCCAGCGACAAAGGTAGGCGGACGGCGATTTGGTTCTCGAACGTCCGGCGCAGACTGGAGAGGCCGTGGTTATTTAAAATAATATAAATAAATTATGTTAGAAATAACTATATAAAGAATTTTTATTTATATTAACTATTTGGTTACATATAGGGGTAGAGTGGATCTAAATTTCATATCAAGCAAACGGGTGTTGACCAGTTGCCCCTCACGACTGTTATCAGGATTTTAAAAATATACCAGTTGCCCTCAACCAAATGTACCAGTTGCCCTCAACCGAATGTACCAGTTGCCCTCATATGTTAATATATACACGATTACAATATATAGATCGTAAAATAAGGGAGGTAAATATACAAATGTCAATAATACAATAATAATAAATAATAATACAATTGTCAATAAACAAATTCATATGATTGGAATTACATATAATATTGTATCAAATATTATATATTATACAAATAAGATGGATAAAATGAAAATTGTATTAATAATAATAGCCTACTTGGTGCAAAGCAAGGATTTTACCAAAACGCGTAATTTTAGACGCGTCAAAGTGGACGTCAATTATTATATTAGGCTTTATCGGAATACGCTGGTTATTATCATTTATTATATCTTTATTAGTATTTTTATGGTTGTTAGAAATTATTATATGATATGATGTAGGTACGTACGACAATACGTCTTTTGATAGGTATATTTTAGTAGACGAAAAGCACTGACGTTATTAACACGATGGAAAATATTACGCGAATGTATAGTGAAAAGGGCAATATTTTGTTAGTTTTAAATAATTAAACGTTTTATAAAGATCGCATTACACATGCTGGTGTGAAATGGCGATGTACATTAAAATCATGTACGTCAAAGCTGTTTATAAGTGAAGATGAAACTGTGCTTTTAAAATCGGTTATCGAACACAAACATTCACCGCGTAAAAATTTAACAAAAGTAACCATTTCCAATAATTTAAAACGGAAAGCTGTGGATGAAATTTTCAAACGCCCATTAAAATTAATACGTGAAGAAGTTCAATCAAATATCGTGGATGTAACATTAAACGATGTAAACTCCATTCGCAGAAGCATTTATCGTGCAAGAAGAAAAACACTTCCACCACTTCCAAAATCTATTTCTGAAGTTCACTCAGCATTAACACTATTACAATTAAATACTTACAAAGGTGAGAATTTTCTATTATATAACAATGAGATAGAAAATATAGTATGTTTTACTACAGAATCAAATTTAAAATTTTTATGTACTCGAGATAAAATTTTCGTAGACGGAACATTTGAATACTGTGCGAAATTTTTTTTACAACTTTTTACAATACACTGTGTCAAAAATGGACATTATATT